GGGGGCAATGGGGCGGGGTCGGTTGGGTTGTGTTGTTGAGTTTGAGTACATTTCTATATCAGAGGCGCCTCTGTACATATACACTTCGGATTAAAATAATATGTCGACATTTTGTATTTTCGACATTTAAATTTTCGACATTTTGTATTTTCGATATTTTGATTTTCGATAAAAAGTGTTCGATATTTTGAATTCGATAAAGTGAATTTCGATATTATGAACGTCGATATTTTATTTTCGATAAATTGAAAATTCGATTAAATAAAATTTCGATATTATCATTTTCGACATTTTAATTTTCGATATTTTGATTTTCGACATTTTGTATTTTCGATATTTTGATTTTCGATAAAAAGTGTTCGATATTTTGAATTCGATAAAGTGAATTTCGATATTATGAACGTCACCCCTTTTCCATAGCAAATGGTTATAGGAACCGCAAGAGTTGCCAATATAAAAACATAACAAACCAAAAGTCACCGAATTTTCCCAAAAAATTACATAAATATTTCATAAAGTTAAATTATTTGAACTTTATGTGATTTTTACGGTACTCCATAATTTTTACATAAGAGTCACATAAACGTAAAGATTACGTACTATGCACATTGTGAACGCTTCTTATGTATCTTTATGTATTTTTTTTATGTATTTCTTATGTTTTTTTATGGTTACGTCCATTGTGAACAAGCACTTACGATTACAATTAAATTAATATGAAATATTATAATAATAATTAATTTTAATTATTTATCCGTAAGCTAGAGGCCTATAATCCGGATATATATATATATATATATATATATATATATATATATATAAATATATAAGTATCAGAAAAAAATAGGTTTTCTACTTTACCCCAGAAGTAGGCAACCAATATTACAAAGACTGAAATGCCTTCCCGTTTCGCCACCGAGCCGAGGAGCTCGAAGCGCGTTTTCCGAATGGTATGGTCCATTTACTAATGCACCACACAGATTATACCATACCCACCAACACTGACAGACAGACCTGTTGGGTCTCATCAGTGTCAGGCAGTCGGTGACGGGAGACACGCATCAAGCTCGGCTCTGTTCACTTATAGATATAAATGACCAGGACAGCGGCGAGATGCATCGGCAAGTCAGTCTGCAAACAACATGGCAAAAATTATCTTAATGCAATATTTCGGATGAAACATTGTCCAAAACTAAAGTTATAATTATAATATTATAGTTACAATGTTCCAAAAATCTTGCAAATTAAATGTTTATACTGTTTATATAAAGCAACATTGCAAAAATCATCTTAATGTAATATTTCGGATGAAACATTGCCCAAAACTTATCAATGTAATATTATAATTGCAATGTTCCAAAAATCTTGCAAATTAAATGTTTATATTGTTTATAAAAAGTAACATTGCAAAAATCATCTTAATGTAATATTTCGGATAAAACATTGCCCAAAACTTATCAATGTAATATTATAATTGCAATGTTTCAAAAATATTCCCAAACATTCCAAAATAAATGTTTCTATTGTATATTTAAAGTAAAGTTGCAAACATTTTTCATTTGAAAGTTGTGTTAATATTTCAATTGAAACATTGAAAGAAAGTTATGTCTGCAATATTATAATTGTAATGTTTAAAAACTTTTATGCAATATTTTATGCTATATGTTACAAATATAACATTGTAAAAACTTTACATGTGAATCTTTAAATAATGTTTCAAATTTAAGGTTGTTGGAAATTATTATATGCAATATTTCAAATGTAACATTTCAAGTAGCACAGGAAATATTTTATTTGTAAAGTCGGCGAACATTGCAGCAATATTTTGTAAGGTTTCTTTCCCAGTGGGAGTAGAGCCGGTCAAAAGCAGATGATTGCCATGATACAACATTTGTTGTATCATGGATGATTGCGGGACTGCACCACAGACCACCAAAACAAATGGACGGCGCATTGTCATTCAATAACAATGCTTTGTTTGCGGTTAACAAACGGTCACAGTCTAAGCGTCAAATTGGAGAGAGAATTTTATGTTTTCTTCCAGTGACGTATTGGGTCCCAATAATTGGGATTAAAAAAATAATAAGTATACTTAAGTAGTAGGTAATTACCTATAGGTAGGTACTTACAAACGATATTTCCATGTATTGTTATTTTTAGTAAAAAATAATGTATTTAAACTCCATAATTAACTTTAACACGATAGAAATACACAAACGAAAACACAAAACAACAAGCTGTCAACCTTTTTCTATGCTGTCAAATATGACGAATTTACCAACGTTGTTAATATTTAATTTTAATAATTATTAAATGATTTACTTTCTTTAAATAGAGAAAAATATCTAAAGAAAATGATGAACAAATCCTTTTTACAATTTTTTTATTATTCAAACGAATTAGGTACTGGTAATTATTACGCTGCGTCTCACGCTAGCGTGAACGCAATTTAATTTTTATTCTCACGCTAAAGTCAAAATAATTTTAATTTTATTCTCACGCATTATTTTATATAATTTTACTTTTTAGGTGTCGTGTCATTTGATTTGATTATTATTTGATTATGTCATTTGATTTGATTATGCAAATGTAATAAAATTTACTAATAATAAAATCGAGACTCTTTTACTGCAGCCAAACCAACCCAAACTCAACAACACAACCCAACCGACCCCGCCCCATTGAGCAAAAAACCCAACTAAAATGGGCAAATTTATGTTACGATAAAAATAAAACACAAAGGAACAACAAATTTATGAAATAAAAAAAGTTCGACAACTTCTGGTAGATTTTATGTTACGATAAAACTAAAACAAATTAACCAACCCAACCCAACCGAACACTGTTTAACAAAGAAACAACAAATTTATGAAATAAAAAAATAAAAAAAGTTCTTAGAATCGAACCCGGGACCTCTCGCATGCCAAGCGCCCGCCCTACCATCGGAGCCATCTAGCTTGTTGTCAAATATTAAACGCTCTGGGAACAAAAACTGATTATAATTAGTGACGTCACCGCGTGAGAATAAGAATAAAATTGCGTTTACGCTAGCGTGAGACTATAGTCTATAGACACAGCGTAATTATTAATGTTCATTATGTTATGATGAACGTCCAAAAAGGCGTGTAATCTATACTTCTGACAACGTTGGAAGCCGTGTTTCTTTCGACGGTGTTTAGAATATTAAACGTAAACAATTGGATTTAAATCCGTCCATTTCAGGCGTTCGCGAACGCGCGCAGATATGTTTGCGGGTGAAACCGTATGAAAGCAGACGTTCGCGGATAAAATGAGATGTTCGCGGATAAAAGCAGATGTTATCAGATGATATTTTTATCCGCTTTTATCCGGCTTCGTCGAAGAATTTATATGCGCAATCATCCGTCATTTTCAGCAGGGTTCGTTTAATTTTATCTACGTTTGCCTGAATTTCTCTTGTTTTATCCGCAAAGGCTGTATTTAGGTTTATACCTGCAGTAAACCGGTTTTATCTGCAAATCCCTGCTTGAGCAATTTCGTCCAGTTTTTATTCGACTACACGAAAAACGTCTGCGTTTATCCGATTTTATTCACAATTGCTTGCATTTCGTTCATCTATTTTGGAGCGTTTGCCTCATTTTGTTCTATCTAATTTCGACCTGATTTATCTGCAAATGCCTGATCTCGTTCTATTAGCAAAACATTTACATCATCCGTCTGTACGTCCATGTTAATCTATTTGCGTCCGCAGGGGCGTACCGAGACACACTTTTTGGGGGGGGGGTGGAGACGATAAAAAAAACAACTTATTTTTTTATCGATACTTTAGTAGTAATGGTAAAAATTTTCAGTAGTTTTATCATGAATGTAAAGTGTTGTAAGGTGTAGATAAAGAATGTATTTACGGTAAAGAGCATGCTAATGGTAGGTAAAGACTTTACCTACCATTAGCATGTAAGTGGATTATCCGGAACAGTAACAATTTTAATTTTAACCAAATTTCCACCGTGAATATTTTCCTCGTGCATTTTTTTCTAGTCCTTGTTAAACACAGATCCACATAATGAGCATTTTACTAGAACTCGGCCCGGTCTAGCTTTCTTTTCCATATTAAAAAAAAATTAATTCCTATTTATTGACACTAGTTTTACTTAGCTTAGATAAGTTTCAACTAATTAATAATTTAGAAAAATAAGACGCCGAAAATTGCGGTGCGTAAAAAGAGTCAAACGCCGCCAAAACCAAAGACAAAGCCGCGAGGCGGTGCCGACTTTGTACATGCCGCTTGTGTGAAATATAATGTCCTTTAATAAAAATAAGGTTGACCACAGTGGCGTGCAGGACGGGCCCCGCAGGGCCCGCGGTGCGGGGGGGCCCCGATCTTAAGGGGGCCCCGTAGAGAACCACATTGGGTGGTATAAGTGACAAAGGGGCCCCAGCTCAAAATTTGCGGGGGGGCCCCCGATCACCTTTGCACGCTACTGGTTGACCAATACAATTTTCTTGACGGTAACGATTATAGGAGGTTACAATAGATTAAAAATTATAATTTTGTAATATGTAGGTAAAGTTTAAAAATTATATTTCATTTTATTTATTGTGATGGGTTGGTTGGTAGGGTAGGTATACCCAACCAACCGACCCAAATACCGTGTTTGGATTTGGAACCAACTGCCAAGACTTTGGGGGGGTGACTCCCCCCCCCCTACACCCCCCTTAGGCCCGGCCCTGTGCGTCCGGTTTCATCACCATAGCCGTATGTCTGCATTGATCCGGTTTTATCTGCGTAAGTCTACTTATGACGGTTTTATCTGCATAAGTTTTCAGGAAAACCGACCATTGCATTTGTTTACATTTTAGAAGGTAAATAGCAAAGATACGTATCCTAGATATCTATGGATATGATATAAATTTGCTTTCGCTGTCAAAATGACATGAATAGTGATAACCGGAAGTAAGGTAGTTGAGTGTATAAATTAAAAATATATAATTTTTAAACTTTATTACAAAAATTTTTACACTTAATATAATGGTGAGTTTTCAGAAAAAATTAGACTTGTACTTGGCTGGTTTCCGGTTTCATTCATTGGTACTGGTTCAGTATCTTGTTCAACCCTTCGGTTGGCAATATCTTTCAGTAGGGCTTTGCCCTGCTCTTTTGTCTGCAACAAACTGGTTTACACAACACAAAACAACTTTAAAAGAAAAATTACCTCTTCACACTCCATGCATTTATATGCATAAGTATAAGCATCATCCAATTCACCTTTCTTAAGGTGATAATTTGCCAAGTACTGTAAGGCATTATAAAATTCAGTTTGTTCTTCATAAACCTTTTCTTTATTATCATCTTCTCTTAAACAGTATTCTGTAAATGCTGTCGCAGCATTATCAATTTCATTTAACTTATCATACAATCTAAAAAAATAAGAAATTTATATCAATTATGGCTGAGTAATTTCATACAGGATAATTTTTATTAAATGGGTACCTAACAGATTTTATTTTTTAGTTTATGCCTAACATCAAGGGTCATTTTTACATGATTTTCAGTGACAGGATTCGCAACGCGCGCGCCACCTGGTGGACTTCAAAAGCATTGCGTGAATTTAAGATTTGTCAACAATACATTTAAAGCATTCGAACTGTACATCATTTTTAAATAAATAGGTATTTTTTTCACAAAAGAGAGGAAGGCAGAAGTCTTACTAAATGCGCACGTTATATGTGTTTTACGTTGCAAGGGAAAAACTAAAAAACTGGTTTAGTACTCGATTTCAATTGATTATTTTTTATATCATTGATTAAGAAACTCAACGCTTAAATACTTATATAGTTACGTTAGTTTGTGTATTTTATCAAAGGGATTATGGTGAATTATTGTGTTTTTAATTGTAAATAAAATTCAAGAACTAAATCGTTGCATTTTCATGTTTTGCCAAAGGATCCAATTCGGTAAGTACATTTGTTGGTGCAGAATTAACTAATGATAACTTTACCTAATATAATTTATATTTAAGTTTTTTAAAGCTAAAAAATAGTAGTTTTTATAAAAAAAATGTAAATTCACTCAATCAATATTTCTAAATAATTACACTGTGCTGAAAAAACGTGTATTTTACTAATTTTTCGTGTTTTTTAAATGCGTTCCATGTCTCGGCTGTTTAATATATATATATTAACAGCTAATTTTTTTCATATATAAAGTTTACATGCCAAAGACAAAATAAAACTTACAATTGACCTGTTTGGCATACGGTTTCCAAACAAAAAAATTGCTTAAAATTTTAAAATTCTTGAAAATCTCATTATTTAGGTCATTATATAAGGATGTTGACTTCCAAATAGAATTATAAAATATACAGGATAATTAGCCCCTCCCTTAATGTTCAAATGCCTGGTAGTTTGGTTTTGTTATTTTCATCTTTGAAGGTTCTAAAGTAGCTTTAAATAGAGTAAAATATTGTAATGATAAAAAGTCGCATTATTTCATCCATTATATAAGTATGTTGACTTTAATATAGAAATATGACATTAACAGGATGTTTAGTCCTTACTTTGAAAATGAAATTCGTGTTTGACTTGTTTTAATATTTTCATCCATTTTGCTTATAAATGGGCTTTAAAAAAGGCTAACACATGGAAAATTAAAAAACGATTCATTTTATCCTTAAATCATATAAATGTTAACTTTTAAATAGAAATATAAAACTTACAGGAAATTTAGTCCTTATCACAAAGTTTAAAAGCTTGTGATTGTACAGATGCTTTAAAAGCAGCAAAAAAATAATAAAATTTAAAAAAATCGCATAAGTTATATGCATACACCTACATAAATATGCATAGGAATGCATAAGCCAAACATCATAGTAAGGACTAAATATCCTGTAAGTTTCATGTTTCTATCTTAAGTCAACACATTCTTAGAATAGAAAATTAAACAATCATCGTTTTTTAAATTTCAATATGTTTGCTCCTTTTAATTAAAGCCCATGTAAAAGCAAAATGGATGTAAATATCAAAACAAGTTAAATAGGCATTGACGTTTTTAAAAAGTGTTAATTCGAATAGGCCGGATTTGACACATGCGAAAAATTAAATAAGGGTGGATTTTGTCCTTTGGGACCCTAATGAATATGTCTATAAAATTTGAGCAAAATCCAAGATGGTCGAGCAACGAGTTTCGGCGTTTTCATATGGATTGACTCGTTAATCATTACTAAAATTATTGTATCTAATAGATACAATTTATATTTACAGGGACCGTATGAAATTTATTTCTTCATTCGGATTAACACTGTTTATTGAAAAACCGGTAAAAACTCAACCCAGGATTTCCTCTCGAAATACACCCAACAACACAACAAATCGAGACACGTTTTTTTTTCGATATTTTTCAACCCTTTCCGGCTTTTTTCTCAAAAACACTTTGTTTGTTGTATTTTTGTTACGATGATAACAGCCGAGTGGTGGCGCTACTAGCGATACTTCTTTAGCGTATGGTAAAAGTTTATTATTATTTTCTTCTGACTTTTGAGTCAGGCATCAACCAAAAAAATATTGAAATCTGTCATGAAGCCCTAAAGTAATGATATTACTTTGCTAATTTAATTAATGCCAACCCATCCATGTCACCTATACTACAGGCCTTGTAGTAACATTTAAGTGCATTTTCAGTCTTATCTAATTTCTCGTACGTTTCTCCCAATGCGATAATCATCCTACTGTCATTAGGTTTAAGCTGTTGTGCTTGTTTGTAGTAGTGCAGACAATAGAAAGGCATTTTTATTATTTCATAGGTTTGTCCTAGGCCATACCATGCCCTATAATCGCGCTTATTTATTTCTATGGCATTTCTGTAACTCTGTATGGCTGCATTTGTATTTTTCATTTCCATAAACTCGTGACCTATCAAAGTCCAGGCGGATAAGAATTGCGGATTTAATTTTAAGGCTCTTCTAAAGTATAATACAGCATTGGGATGGTCAGATCTCAAGCTGTAGTAATTACCTGAAATAAACTTAATTAAAAAGACATTTGTTTAATTATAAAATATTTACCTATAACGCAACAAGTCTCTACTCGGTATTTATCTATTATAACCACTTTGTGTGCTAAATCTGCTAGTTGAGTTTTCATTTCTTGGACATAAAGTAAGTTTGAATATGTATCTAAATTGTCTAAACGATATGGATCCACCGATAAGATTTTTTGGAACATTGTTATTGCTTCATTTAGCTCTAAAAGTAAATAGATTCAAAATAAAAGATTTAAATAAACCAGTTAACATAAAAAATAGGCTGTTGCAATCGTCTAAAAATCGGATGAATGAGTAGTAGTAAATATCTTTATTGGAATAAACCAAAAGGCTAATGACCAAGGTCTTTCTGCCCATATAAATATATTTATATATTAACAATCAATTTGGTAAAAAATTATTTGACATAATTATATAAAAAAAAAACAATATTTAATGGACTTGAAAATCTAAGATAACTTTCCATAAGGTCTTCTTTGGGAATTTTCTTTTTATTGGATTACCTTCTAAGTCTGGGAAAATGAAGGGTTCAATAATATCGGATGAATGATTTAATGAATGAGTTAAGTTAAACAATTTTGATTACAACTTCAGAACATACACAAAACATATAATAAATTATTGAAATCTGTTTATTCTCAAGCAAAATATAGTGTTAAGAAACCATGCCATGAAACAAACGTGTAATATCTTTATAATTGTAGCAATAAAAATAAAAAGTGTTATTTTGAGTTTTAACGTTAAAGAAGCATTGGGTTTTCGCAACGCGCGCGCCTACTGTTGGCGCTCGATTGCATTATTGAAATACAAGATTTTTCAACAATACATTTAAAGCATACATCATTTTTAAACAAATAAGTAGTGACAATTTTTATTTGCAAAGTTGCAATTGCACAGCTTAACCGCGCACAGTATTTGTGTTTCGAGTTACAAAAGTATATACAAAAGTGCTCTTTTAGTTCGCTTGTGCGGGTTAGGGGTAGAAACGGACCGCGGGCTTTAAGTAAGCTCGATTTTGATTTATTATCCTTTATATTACGTTTGTGTGTGTATTTTCTTTAAGTGATCATCATTTAATAACAAAAAAATTGTCTGTAGGCTACAGCACAGTGGTGCAAATAACCCTTATAACTGGCATTAAATAAAATGAAGTTGCTAAAACAAAATTTAATTATGAATGATAGCTCTTGTAAAAATTAAAATAATTTGTTAAATTAAAGGGTCATTTTTATTAGTGTTTAATTAAAGTGATTTAAACGTTAAACATTTGAATAAAAAAAATTAAGAAATCATCTTTTATCATGTGAAGCGAAATATTTAAAAAAATACTTTAAATCGATATTCACGAATGCATCGTCACTATTTTTATATTAAACATAGCTAAGATTTTGAGGCTTTTTTGGGTTTGTAGTTATTAAAAAAAATATCCCTAGTAAATTACTCTTGACTGTACAAGAGTTTTGCTCTTTATATCGATTAAAATCTTTATTTCTAGCCCCTTGTGATTCTTTAACTATAGTTAGTTGACCAATGTGCCAAAAGTGCTAAGAATATAATTTTTACATAATAATAATATATAATTTAGTTGTATTATTGTACCAAGGATATAAAGAAGCGAAATATCTAGCCGTATCATGTGAGAAGAGACTATATTTTCAGCTTCTATTTGAAATCCACTAATATACCATCATGTTGTTTTTTTATAAGGTTAAGGTCTATTTGAGTTATTAGTGCAGATATTTGAAAAAAAATGCCTGTTGGTGTTACCATTATTGGGGTTACCAAATCCAGATTTGCATTTGTCCACAATAAGACCATAATTTTCTTTGAACAGTTCGCCATAATTAGTAAAGTAGCAAAAAGTGCTTGGTTTTTCTAAAAGTCAATGATAGGGGGTAGTTTAGAAAAATACACTTGATTCAATTGGAAAAAATTATAATTATTTTAGTTTTTTATTTTTTTACAACAAAAATTGTCAGTTATCTGACGTCTTTGTATAATTACAAGATCTCAAAAGTTGCAAAAATATCATTAAATAGTATTTAATAAATACCTAAAGTTAAAAGTTTAATTGCTAAATTATATTAATAAAAAGTTCAACACGATTTTCCTCCCATGAAACATTTTAAGAGATTTAAAGAATGAAGGTTAAAAAAACGTACTCACTGTTTCACGAAATCACGTCATTTAAATTTTTTATACAGTCATTCTTATTATTTTAACCTATACAGATTTTTAATTCTCTATTTTGTTATATCATTTTTTTTTCTTAAAATATTGTATGTTTTTACAAAATACAAAAATTATACATAAAAAAATATTGATTTAATTTTTTTTCAATACCTATAATAGGTATTTTAATATTTTTTGTAATATTTTTTGTAGAAAAACATAATAAATATTCAAAACATCAGTTGGCGTGTCACAACTCCTGAATCAAATATTTGAGTGATTTTATTTTAAAATATATTCAATTTATCTTAAATTTTTCAATTTCACTACAAACTATAGAGCAATTTTTAAAAAATTGATAATCTTTGTACTCACTTTTACCCGTCAGTTCTGTGTCCAATGTTAAAATTCAAAATTTTCTGCGAAATATTGTTTAACTTAAGTGTTGGTAAAAAATTACCTACAGAACCCGCCCTTTGCACGACAGTCATCTTGAAAACAATACAAGCGGCGAAGTTGTGGTGAATGCACGTATAGTTCCAGTCAAAATTCAGTACTGTGGTGAGTAGTTATTTTCTTACGTATATATATTTCATTGTAATTTATATAAGGCTATTTGTGATTTGTTGATAAGTAGCATCCACTAATAAAAAATATCAGTAAAATACTTAATTCCGAATTATAATCTCAAATTTGTATCCCATTCATCAGTACCGTGTCGTCAGTTTCATGTTCGATGTTTCGGTTATCTTTTTTTTGCGAAATTCAATTTAAATTCTGCTTGCGCAGAACTTGTTTATTTAATGTCATTATAAACTCATATAAATTTGGAGTTGGTCCCATATCTAATAATTGAGATATCGGTATACCCAAAATCCACCAGCCGCCACTGATGTGTGGTATTATTGGATTTTAAGATATTTAATGTATAATATGCTCAAAGTTGCAATAAATCTTATATTTTCCCATAAATTATGTATTTAATTAGTACCCTGGTATACTCGTCACTTCCCTTGCATTCAAATTTAGAAAACACAGATATTTCAAAAACTGTTTGAAAAAGTGACTGGAACACTATATTTATATTATCTTTGTTCTCATAACAAAATACTGTTTAATTTTCTCCAAAAACTATAGTTTATATAAACAAAATGAGGTCAAAAGTTGCCCAACTTTTGTAGAATCAACCATATAGTGGTATCACAACCTAAAAAACACCACTTGACCACATTCGTGATCCATTCGAAGTTTCTGGGGAACGGAAAAAGATAACGATTTAAAAGCGTTTATAATCCATTTATTATAGTCTATTTTTATAAAATATTTTGAACACCCCATATATTTTTAAATTTTAAATTTACAGAAATTTACATTAAAAAAAATGTACTCTGTAAAATTTACAGAGGCGATTGAAGTTCGCGCAGCATCGGCGTTTGTGTAGTAACGCAGAAATTCGTGGAATTGTCAATTTTTAAGATAAACAAATTATTACACTAGTTAACAAAATCGAAAAAAATTTCTGCCCACCATATCCCATTATAATTTTCCCATTTATTTTGCCCCACTTAACACGAAAGTCACATTTTTTATGGAAGCGTTTTTGAGATATTAATTTTTCCCAGCCTGTAAAGCTTAATTTTTATGTATCCGTTTGTCCGTCATCCGTATGTCAGTTTTTCAATAAAATCGTCCGATAAGAAATGTTCTAATTTTCATGCATACGTTTTTTAATGACGTTTAACGGATTGATTTTGAGACAAATAGAAATTAAGTGTCAGTATATTCACTTACTAAATTTACCTAATGCTTAATTGTCATAGTTACAATTATGTCAACAATTGTAACTTTAACAGTTAGCTGTCTAATAAATTTAAAGGTAGGTAAATATTAGACCAGGGTCGATAATTTTTGAAACCAAAAAAAATAACAGTAGGATGAAACCCATTGGAAAAGAAGAAGAATATAATAAAAATGAAAGGAAAAATAAATTACGGGCGATCTGACTTCGGGAAGTGGGAGGGGGGGGGTTTAAGGGTAAAAAATGATTTATCTCGATTTCCGGCAAAACTACAAGTCCTATAGAAAAAAGTTAAATGGCAAAGTTGTAGGTATTAAAAGGATCTACAACTTTTGTAATTACAATTTTTTTACATAACCTCAAAATTTATGTGAAAAATTCAAAAAACCAAGTTTTTGGTTTTTTATTTTTATCTTTAAAAAAAAAAAAAAATTCCACGAAATTTGGTGAAAACTTACCTTTTTATGTCCCAAATACAATGTAATTTATTTGATTTGAAATATTTATTATTTCGCCTTATTTTGACTTAATATCAAAAAAGCACCCTAATTTTCAATCGAAAACTCTCGCGTCAAAATATCAGCTTTTTTCAAAAAGTCGGTGTGCTTTTTGTTCGTTAAAATCTCTACTTTCTGATGGTGTAAAAAAAATATACATTACTATGGTAAATGTTCTCAGAAAATGCAAAAAATATTATAATGAATAACGAAAAAAACTCGAATTCGAAAATTTATTTTAATCATTATGTACAATTTCATCAAAAAAATGTGATTGTTGCAATTTTTTTTAGTTAAAAAGTTTATTTATTAAATTCTAATAACATTTATGTCAGAAAATCTCATAAAATATAAAAATACATGTAAATCATACTATTGAATTTAGATACTTCATTCTGATTACGTTATTCATTATAATATTTTTTGTATTTTCTGAGAACATTTACCATAGTAATGTATATTTTTTTTACACCATCAGAAAGTAGAGAGTTCATCGAACAAAAAGCACACCGACTTTTTGAAAAAAGCTGATATTTTGACGCGAGAATTTTCGATTGAAAATTAGGGTGCTTTTTTGATATTAAGTCAAAATAAGGCGAAATAATAAATATTTCAAATCAAATAAATTACAGTGTATTTGGGACATAACCCAGATAGCACCATTCGTCCAATGGACGTCCGTTTAAGATCCATTTTAAGAACATTGGTCCACGGACTAAAAATGGATGTACTATG